GGGCCAGGCCCGAACAGAACAGAACAGACCACAATCGAGAGTTGATTTTTGTTCAGAGCTGGAGAAGTGTGGTGTGGCGATGGAGTTCGTTAGGCGTTTTGTCCTCGTAAATGTTTGAGGTGCTGGATGCACAAATTAATATTGTGGATTGCGGTGTGCGGTGTGCGGTGTGCGGTCTCCTCTCCTCTGTATTCGCTGTCGGGGGCCAAACACACACAGCACACACCGTAAGCGAAGACAAAAGGACATCATCAAGCAACCAAAACAGAACAATGGGCAAATTTGTCGTAAAGAAGCAGCCACAGAGATCGGGGCACCAGAGAGAAAGTCCACGAAAGGATTTATGCAGCTGTAACAGTGTCTGGTTCTTGGGGTTAGGTCATTCCGATCATTACGATGATCGGGATGGCGATGATGATGAAGGAGGCAGAGGAGGGCGCGGAGGATGGTGCTGCTTTATCGTTGGCATGCGTATGCCTGACCTGTAAGTTCACTGGACACGCATGCGCCTCTGAAGTGCACAAGAAAGACCTGCATGACCTGGCCATGGATCGACCCACAGATTACCCTAGAACCAGCAGTGTTGAATGAATGTTTTCTGCTTGGGTTTTGGGTAACGTTTCAAGGCATATCTTTGCCATGTTTTGGGGGGGGGGGGGGGGAATGCCAAGGCAATGGCCATCCATCAGTCGACACTCTCCCACTGATATACCCATTCCGAATGCACACACAGGAATATCCGAATGAACGAATGAACGAATGAACGAAACAGATACCAGAGAACCACAAGAGACGACCAGACCGGATCAGGTCGTACCTTAATCGCAGCACTTTAATCGACACGCAAAGTTCGTTTAAGTTAAATAAACGTTTAAACGAGAACACGGCGCGCGAGAGAAGGGCAAGGGGAATGGCAAGGGGAATGGCAAGGGGAATGGCGATGGGGCATGGGGCATGGGGCAAGGCAATGGGAATGGGAATGGGAATGGGAATGAGCCGCAACAAAAGGCCAAGACAGAACAAGCGAACGGCATGCGCTACACGCAGAACTTGTCCAGGGAGAGACCCCAGAGAGAGAGCGAGAGAGAGAGAGAGGGAGGGGACTCGGGAGACTCGGAGGAGTCCAAGAAGGGCCCCCAAATGGACGAGGCCTCCGCAAATGCGTGCCCCGGCTGGGTGTGTACGAAATGTTTAAATTAAGGTGCATATCAAGTGCACCAGATCACTAATTACCAGCGCCAGCTACGGACCAGAGCCTCGACTCGAGGAATCCCTTTTGGCGTCCACCAGCTTTCGGATCTCGTGTGAGCCAAGCGCCTCCAGAGAGAGAGAGAGAGAGAGAGAGAGAGAGAGAGAGGGGTTAAAGGTGGCTGTATGGCTGTGGCTGTGGCGGCAGGAATCGAAAATCAATAAAGATGAGACCCAGATATTGGCGGGAATGCCATGTGCTATGTGATTTGCTCTGTTGTTGCTTTCGAGCGGCTTTCGAGTGGCTTTCGAGCGGCTTTCGAGCGGCTTTCGAGCGGCTTTAAGTGGGTTAATGTCTTGCTGGAAGAACAATGGAATTGTCCGTCAACCGATGGATACTTGGGATATCTTTTGGGTATAACAAATGCACCTAAGATGGCTGCTGGGAGAGCGGGAGTAGAACCCTTTCCTAGCTCTAATGGTCTCCGACTGGCATTCGCCGCCCATTCGCTTGACACATGCCATAGTTTGTTTTGACTATTTGCCAGTGATTTGTGGAGTCGAGAAGTCTCTCGAAGTAATTAAGGCCGCTACCGGACAGAGATGGGAGCTGGAAGCTGGCGATGGGAGATGGGGCGATGGGGATGCGGCGATGGGGATGACGTCTTGCCTTTCAGCGAACAAATTTCATGCAAATTTTTGCATAAACATGTTTCCATTATAATGTGTCAATAATAATATTTGCCATTATATTTCTACGAGTCTTTCAATGTGGTACGAGCCGTATATTGTTTCTTCCATTCCATTGTCAGTTCTTAAAATGCAAATTTCGAATGCCACTCCAAGGGGGGTGGCGGGGGCAATTATTTAATTTAATAAACATGTTCTTACGTCTCCTCTGTGGGAGATATACGATATATGCTTTGCATGCATTCATTTGAAAGCTGAAAGAACATTAGCATTAGCATTGCGAACGGTGATAAATAATTAAAAAGCGAATGCTGCTGCCGTTGCTGCTGCAGGTGCTTCGACTCTTGAACTATTTTTAAAGATGTGCTCAGTCGCCGTCCAAGTCTAATGTCTTTGTCTCTAGACTTCGCCTCGGAACTCCTCTATTAGTAATGCACCTCACAGAGGGCACCTCACAGACACATCGAATCACCGCTTGGTTCTCCTCTCACCCATCCATAAAGCATCTCTGGAAAGCGTTCTTCATGGGCTCTTGGCGCCATCCACGAGTATCGCTGGTAACATGATCCTCTAGCCCGCTTGTCTGCCAGCCATTGGGCCATCGATGTGGCGCCTGGCCATCGGCCTGGCCATCGGCCTGGCCATCGGCCCGCCTGCCTTTTTGACAGTCAATAAAATTTTGAAATGTTATACTTTTTGTTTCGATCGAAACCCCACCCCCACCCTACGGTTTTCTCTTTTTCGTTTGTCTAAATGGCTTTTTGATTGGAGAGAGATTGGGGGCCGATCGCGATGATGAGACAAATGAACCACTTTTTCAGCCACAGACAGACAGGTGGGGGAGCCCACAGCCCAGAGACCAGAGACCAGGGAACGGGGCGCCACAGATACGAATGATACTTGACGAATGATATCGATACGAGTGTAGCCCTGAAATCGGACTTAGCCCCGGATGGGGGCTTCGTCCAGAGACTTTTATTACATTTGATGGCTCAAAGACCAAAACCAAAGACTTGGACAACGAACTTGAATGCAAGATGCAAGATTTTTAAATGGTCTGTGATCCAAATAGACGAAGATTCTGGACATATCCTCTCTGTACCTCGATTCGGGATAATGAACAGTGGTCTACAGACTGGCTTGTAGAATCTGTCGCATAAATCCTTCACATTTATAGCCCCATTTCGTTGATTTGGAAAAGTTTAATGCCCGCCTTGCCTGGGGCCTAAAACATTTTTATTTATTTATTTTCCTTCAGTTTTTGTTTACTATGACTGTTTAATAAACTATAAAAATAAATTTAGAAACAATGACGACAAAACACACGTCGGAATGTGGATCGTCGGCGGTTGAACGCACAATGGCGTGCGCTGCCTGCCTCCGCCTCCGCCTTCGCCTTCGCCTTCGCCTCCACCTCCGCCCCCAGACCTGGTGGTGCCCCATTATGCATATTGATGATATGTGCCTGCTCCCCCTGGACTGTTTTGGATGGTTTATTGTCATCCGTTAAGGCGTCAACATTTCTGACATGGCCCGAAGAGCAGAGAGTCGGTTTAATGCGCCCGATTTTGCATCCAAGACATCCCAGAGATACACCCAACTCCGAAAGAGTCCTGTGCCTAGCTGCGCGTTGCCTCATTCATCATTCAACGCCGGATTGGATCCACTTAACGGGGCAGTCGGGTCCGTCGGGCCATAAACAAAGTTTTGGGCCCTGCTTCTGGCTCTGCCACTCTGCCACTCTGCCACTGACGGTGACTCCCTAATTAAGTGATTAAAATTCTGGCCATCAACGAGGCGTATGACTTTTGTATGTGTTAATATAAAGTTTATTATTTGAAGCAGCACGTGGTCGGGTGGTCGGTCGTCCGCCAGTTCTCTGCCCTGCTCTAGGGATGGCCAAACCGACACCGACACCGACACCGACCCGACCCATAGGCCTAATGCTCATGACCACAGCATATCAAATAGTAGAAGGCCCCGGCCGTAGAGGCGGACGACAAATATCTGTGCGTAACATTTGTGGCATTTATAATTTACAGCAATCCATCGATTGCAATGGACATCGGACAGGGGGCCAGGGGAACAGGGGGACAGGGGGACAGATGGACAGCCACAAAGGCAGGCACTTAACGGCCTGCTATATCGGTTTTATTATCAGCCATCGGGCATCGGTCGATCCCTCGATCGACTTGCAGCAAAATGTTGATTGAATTTATGCCAAAGCATTCGCTTGCGGCTTGGTGTTGCCACTGACAGACAGGCCACGCCCCTGTTTTTGGCCCGTGTTTAGAGTAAAGACACCGCTCGATCGGTCGCTCGATCAGATATATGTATGTTTGGAGTAGAACTGATATTGAAACAAGAATGGTGGCTGAATACCAAAGTAATTTATTAGCTTTGATCCTAAGAATGTGCGGTGGCCAAAGCACAGACTCGGCTGCAGATACATCCGATAGATAGCCATGGCCAGGGGCCTGACAGCCATACATACATATATATCGAAAAGGGGCATCGAAAGTTCTCCTTTTGGGCGCTACGACAACATCTTAATTATGAGACGAGCATTGTCCATAGAAAGATATGTTTTTGTTCAGAATTCCATCTGTATCTAAGATGCTAAGGAGAAGCGTATCTATAGATACTTTTAATGGAACTTATTCCATTTTTCCTCCCCAAAATAAATGTGAAACAAATTGCTGTGTAAATTTTCATAATAATTTTTATTCCTTTCTTTTGCATAAATTTAAAAGCCAATCTATATAGACATGTGTGTATGTATATAGTAACTAAGACTACAAATTACAATAATAATTAATAAAAAAAAAAATTACTTAGCACAAATTAAGATCGAGCCTTAAGGTTGACAAATTTCTATGTACAAATTTCTAGCGGTTTGTTTTTCTTCAGGGTGGGATTTTTCACTACTTTTGCGCACGATTTTTTGTTGTTTTTGGAATGCAATGGAGTGGAGAATGGATTGGATTGGATTGGATTGGATGATATCTATGCATATCTTATCTATCTATAACTCTTAGATACTATTAAAAAAAAAAAAAATTAAGATACAAAGATACAATATATACAATTTCTGTTCGTGTGGTGGGAAACGGGGGGGACAGGGGACGGGGGAGGGGGGTGGTACTTTTGCTCTTTCTGTAAAAATAATTTTTGGATTTGATCTCTCGATAGGTGTACGTGTACGTGTGTGTGTGTGTGAGAGAGAGAGTGCGATGCAACTATCTGGCTGTCTCTTTCCAGCAAACCAGTCTATCGCCATCCCTGTCTCTCTCTGTCTCTCGTGTGTGCGAGTGAGGCCCGCAAATGAAATTAACATTTAACAAAAAAAAAAAAATACACTAAAAAATCAACAACAAGTGGTTGGGGTGGGGGGAGGGAGGCAGGGAGGGGGTTACTGGAGCTCCTCCCACCGCGCTCTACCGATCCAACGATCCAACGATCCGCTTAGACGCACACAAAGATACCCCGCATCGCACTGGCCGCATTGTGGGCCACCGCAAAGCCGCTGCGTGCCGCCGCTGTGGCCGCCCCAAAGGGAGACGACACCACCGCCTCCTGGCCGCCGCCCAGCTTCTGCCGCTTGACGGCCTCGTGGTCGGACGAGGAGGAGGAGGAGGTGTTGGTGGCGATGGAGCTGCTGCTGCTGCTGGCGGTGCTGCACTCGGCCTCCAGCTGGTAGAACTTGCGGCGCGGCGCCTGCTCCTGCTCGTCCTGCAGGCTGCAGGCGTCGCTGTCGTTGAAGCTGTGCACGGAGCTGCGCGACGTCTTCATGCTGAGGTCCATGGGTCCGTCCTGGGCAGCAGCTGCTGGGACAGCGGGCTGCTCCTGCTGCTGCTCCTGCTGCTGATGCTGATGCTGATGGTGCACTGCGGTCTCTCCGCCGATGGAGCAGACGGAGACGGGCGACAGGGACTGCATTTTGGCGGCAAAGCTGAGGGGGCTGCTGCTCTGCGACTTGCCCATGGGAATGGGGCTGGAGTGGTGCGACGAGTGGTGGCTCACCGACAGCTGGGCGGTGGGGGTGGCCCGGATGGCGATTGGGTGGTGCATCGTCTGGCTGTGGTGGCTCTGATGGCTCTGCTGGCTCTGGTGGCTGTGGTGGCTGTGCTGGCTGTGGTGGCTCTGGTGGCTGTGCACGGACTGGACATCCTCCTCCTGCAGGCACACATCGATGGGCGTCTGGGGGCGAACGGGGGCTGGGGGCGAGGGGACTGCCGCCACACTGGGCGGTGTATAGCGGCTGTGCGACTCCACCGATCCGGCCGAGTCGACGCTCTGGCGGTGCTTGTACATCTCCTGGCGGTAGGCGGCATCCGCGGCCGCTGCAGCCGCCGCACTGGCGTGGTAGCCGGGGAAGAGCAGATGGGGGGGCAGCTGGAAGGCCGACTGGGGGGTGGCCATCATGCTGAAGAAGGGCAGGGCTGCTGCGGCAGCGGCATCGGCGGGATGGCGGGCGCCGAAGGGCTCGCCCAGGTAGCTGGGGTACCCGAGCAGGGGCATGTGTGGGTGGCGCTGCTGCTGCTGCTGCTGGGCCTGCTGCTGCTGCTGGTGCTGCTGGTGCTGGTGGTGCAGATGGGCGGCGGCTGCGGCCATGTCCCCGAACCCGGGGGTGTGTGGAGAGCCCACGGGCGAGGAGGTGACTCCGCCAGCGGACTGGACCTTGCCGGCCGCGGCGGCCGCCTGCTCGTGCTCCTGCAGCAGGCAGTGGATCTTGAACCAGTTGGAGCGGCGGCCGTACCGCGAGCCGCCCTTGGACATGCCCACGTTGTAGCACTTGCGGAGGCGGCAGGCCTTGCAGGTGGTGCGGTTCTTCTTGTCAATGACGCACTTGCCGTCGTTCTTGCACTCGCTGATGGTGCTGATGTTGTTGTACGATCTGCCGAAGAACGACTGCGTGGAGAGGGAGAGGGAGAGAGAGAGGAGATGCGGATGGTGTTCGGTTAGTGGTGGCCTCGACAAGGAGTTGGCGCGGCAGGAAGAGCAATTCATTCACTTTTGTCGCTCGATAGGCACTTACCTTGCAGCCCTCGCAGGTGAAGGCGCCAAAATGGAAGCCAGCCGCCGGTTCGCCGCACACTTTGCATGTCTGGTTCATCTGTAATTAGGAGAGAGCGTAAGGGTTCTGCGTTAGTAAGGGTTTAATCCACTGGTAATCCACATTGCGTTCGCCGACTGTCGCTGTCGCTCTCCGAACAGAACACTAACCAAGTTGAACACCATCTTGCCAGGGGTTCTCTGTACTCGGTTCTCGTTAAATCTTCGTTTATTTTGTGTTCTCTGAGAGAGAGAGGATGCTGCTGCTGCGATCTGTTCGTTTGGGATGCTGCTAAGCAACTGATGCCCTCTCTTCACGGCGCAGGACATTTATAGTACAGAAAACGATCAGAGCCGAGCCGAGCCGAGTCGATCCGTTCCGTTCGGATCCGATCCGATCCTCGAAGGCACCGAATGGCATTTTTTTACGACAGGCAAAAAACTTAAGCTGCCGGATTATGCAACCCTATGCGTTCATCTTTCAGAGTTTTTCTTTTTTAATTTTTTCGCGCTGCCCAGCCATAAAACCCAGGTAGCAGGCGGCTTTTCCTCCCTCTCAGATACAGTATCTGTTTTTATTTTTTTATAGATGAAGTCATTACCGGGTCAGTGCCGGGCCCTGTGCAATTTCCATTACATTTCCCTTAAAAAAATGCAGCACTCCCCCGACGTCCAGACCTTGACGTCTGGCCATAAAAACACATTTCGCAAGTCAACAAAAAGAATGCCAGAAGAAGAAAACAAAAAAACGAAGATAAACCGAAAATATGAAAATTCTGTTCTGTGTGTGCCAAAAAAAAAAAAAAACGAAGAAGGAAATGTGGAAAGGTTTTTCGCGCGAAACTGTAAAAAATCAAAGTAGTGCAGCGAAGAGATCATAAAAATCTGCTTTGCCGACGGGCGCGACCCGAGCACAAAGCACAGCAAAACACAGCAAAAAAACAACAAAAAACAAAAAAACGTGAATTGAATTCGATTTCCATCTCTCTCTCGCACACACACTCTCTCCGTTCATTCCCAAAAGATCTGCAACTGTGAAAACTTACCTTTATTTTGTTGTTGTGTTGCCTGGTTGTTGTTGTTGTTGTTGCTGTTGCTGAATTTTTATTTGGCTCTGGAACGGTGTGTGCCTTTTATTATGACTTTTTAATTGCACGTGTGGGCGTAAGCACTTTTTTCCACTTTTTCGTTGTTTTTTTTTGTTTTTCACTGAGATGAGTTTTTCCTTTTTGGATATTTCTCCGATTTGGTTTGGGTTAGCACTTTATCATGGGTTCAAAAAATACACACAACATTCGACAATTCGAGAATTCGACAACGATTTTCGAGAGGCACTCAACTCAACTCCACTACGTAACGCGCTCTGGTCTCTGGTCTACTCTTTCGGTGTGTAGTATCTCTGTAACTGACTCTTCGGGCCACTAGCTGCGACTGATTTCTGGCTTAAACCCGTCTCTGGCAAGAAGCATTTCTGTGTGTCGTGTCGCCCCTACTGGCCCAAACTCTTCAGCCTTATGTACACGCACACAGCCACAAAACGGAGCACACGGAGCACACTTTGATGAGCAGTGGAGTTTACCCGTTTCTCTCTCACTCGCTCTCTGATAAATCACGATCGCACAACCACCACAGCCACAGACACAGCCACACCACCAGCAAAGCGCAAAGCGGAGATCGAGAGCGGAACATCCGGAGAGCAATCGAAACTCGCACACACACACACACACACACAGTCGCGCTGGCTGGTCGATTGAGTGAAATGTTAAGCCGCTGTTCAGTCGCTGTTAAGCCACTGCTAGGCCACTGCTAGGCCACTGCTAAGGCTCTGCTGTTAGCTGCGGGCCCAGTGAATGAACCGTTTCTCTCTCCGCTCGCTCGCTCGCTCGCTCGCTCCCTCTCTCTCTCTCTCTCTGGTTTTGGTGGCAGCTCCATTTGCATTGCTCTGATATTATTCGTTATTCGGTTATTTATTAAAGAGACACTCCACTTCCACTCACAGGCCACACGCCACATGCTCCATGCTCCATGCTCCATGGCTAAGGGCGTCTGGAATTGTATCTCTCGCACTCACCGCACACTCACACACTCACACACTCGCAAAAGCTATTGACTTCATTTTTAACATGGGGCGGGGCCTTTCCGATCGCTCTGAAAATCGAAATGGTTGGAGGAGGCTTCGGACTCATGGATCATTGGTCATAAATATCAAGGAAACTCCGTCGGGGGTTTACTTGGAGGAAACTACGTTCCATCTAGATTTTGTAGTATATCCGCCCTATGAATCATCCATCGGAACCGCTTTTCCCCATCAAATACCCAATGGAATAATAAATATCCCCCTTTTACTACATTTCCCAGATGATCCCCTTTTTTGGCCATTTAAAATACCCAATAAACTCTTAATAACATACTAATTCAATATTTGGCCACAACTAAAGTCAATTTTCAGCTTCATTTCCTATTTTCTGCATACAAAAGAACCTTATGGTAGCACTTAACTCTTTTTATGAGAGCCAAAAAGGAAGTTAAAGGGCTACCTGTTCCACCGCACCGGCTAACCCTTTTATGAAGCCTTCTTCTCCTTTCCCTTTGTGTGTGTTAACCCTTTTATGGAACTGCATTGTCCCCGGAAAGGGTTCTGTTCTCCGAGTGGGAGAGAGCCTTGACTTTATAATTTACCAATTTATAGCTTGCAAGTATCTTTTCCGATGCCATGCTGCGGCTCTGTATCTCTCGATCTGGCCACATCCGAAGTACATATTTTGTGATGTAAAAAAGCATCGTTAGGATATGGTTATGGATATGGATATGGATTCCGGGAAGACTCCTTAGTTTAGTTTCGGTTGCATCAGCCGAAGGCGGAGGCTCTTCCAAGTAAAAAAAAGTGCCAACAAAGGCTTGCAAAAAAGTCACATCTAGAACCCTGTTCTCCCTCTCTCTCTATCTCTCTCTTTCCCACATTCTTAAGGACCTTTCCAGCGTGTTTTTTTTTCTAATCGATTCAATTTTATTGACTCTCTGCCCGGTTCTGGCTGTCTGTTTTTCTCACACACCATAAAAAAACGAAGCCGCGTTTGCGAAAATTCTGTTAAAAATCTAAAAAACACAAACGTTTTCGCGAATTTCCGCAAATGGGTAATTTTCCCCGAGTAATTAGTTAGCCCGAAAGGAGGGAGAGGCAAAGGAGGGGCATAAAACGATAGAAAGAAGCGAAAAAAAAAATAAGGACAATGTGACTTTAATCCGGTTTAATCCCCTGGCTTAAGTTTTTTGCCGCTTTCAGCCGTTGGTCGTTGGTCGAGACAGAGAGAGAGCGAGAGCGAGAGAGAGAGAGATGGAGAGTGCGCAACAAAAAACCAGCCTCTGGAGACGACGAGTTGAGTGTCGCGTCGGCGGACACGGCCACGGCCAGGGGCATCATCATAATTATGATCCTAGGATAATCTGCAGCTTAGGTAAGCTGATCCCGCGATTAGGTAACGAAATCGCGAGCTTAGGTAGCCACAAGAATTGCCCTAAAAAAGTAACCAAAACCGAAATCCGGAGACGGCCCGATGTCTCCGCTCGGCTGGCATGACAGACGCTCGGTCCGGGCCCGGGCCCGAGCCCGGGGCGGAGTCATAAAGTCAGACGACCGGCCTGGCCTGGCCCGCCCTGCCCTGGCCTGGTCGTAACCATAAAAAGTCGAGCAGCAGTTGCCCGTAACCCGCGCCAAAACAGAGCACACTTTTTTAAGTGGAAAAGGGATAAAACCGCTGCCCGATGCCCGATGCTCGCTGTACATATGTTGAGACCTTGAGACTGGTCCTAGGGCCCTCGGCCAGGACCTCTCATATAAAAAAGTCAATTGCTCCGCGGAGTTGCGTAAAAAATGACTTTCCGGGGAAAAGAGCGTCAAGGTCGCGGCACACGCGAACGCACACGGCTTTCCGCTGCAAGGAGGCTGCTAAAAAACGCTCACTGGCTAAAAAACGCAATAAAATAAAGCGTAGCACACACACGCACACAAATTTGCGTTGACTTTTTGACTTTTCAACTTTGTTTAATTGCCCAAAAGTCGTAAAAACAAAAAAAAAAACGAAAAATAACTGACGGAAACGTTGGCAGCCAGACAGCTACTAAATTATGGCAGGTAGCCCCACTAGGAATAGAGCCCCACACCCCCCCTCCCCCTGGCTATCAGGCCTGAAAATGTCAGAGAAGTCAAGACGTTCCGTTTCGAATTTACATAGATTTGATTGCATCATTTTGGCCAAATGACTGTATAACCAGCACATATCAATCACCCTCGGAGATCGGAGATCGGTGATCAGAGACGGAGACGGAGACGGAGACAGGCCCAGAGTCAAGAGTCGACACTCGTGTTCGCTCTCAAAACTAATTTGCATATTTTTGATTTAACAGCTCGGACTTAGTTTAGTCGGAAACAACAGCCGAAACCGAGAAGCAAAAACAAAAACCAGCCTAAACATTTTGTTTTTGCCAGCACCAACCCCAACCCCTACCCTGCCCCTACCCCTGCCCCTACCCCTACCCCTACCCCTTCGCTATTTTTATTGTTATTGTAATTATGTGTGAAAAATTAACATTTTGTCGATAGTATCCCTACAACAAGCTGGTCTTTGGTCCGTCAGATTAAGCCACGAATTCATCTTATTCTGTTCAAAGCTGAATGCTTGAATGGCCAATGGCCATTACAATTAGTAAATTGATGGCTTACAAGCCACAGATTTGGGCATAATACTTCAGATAAACCAATGAATCACATCACATCACACATCGCATCGCATCGGATTGCCTTTGAGTTCCAGCCTGTTTGAGATGTATTCATTATATTCGATGACTATTCAAGTTTCTTTTGAAACGAATACGAATACGAATACGAGTACTCGTTGTAAAAATAGCTTTTGAAGCAGAAAAGGCGGAAAATATTTATTGTTTACCACAGATTTTCCATCGGATACTAAATGCTTGGATCTATTATTATCTGGTCTTGTTTAGGATGTCTGTGGTATGTCTTGAAATTGAAAGGAATGGAATTCTGTACTCTCCATTCTTGTCTCTAGAGAGAGTTTCATTTTCTCATTGGTATTTTGATGGAATTTTAAGGTCAGGCTTCCAAAACCGAACGCAAAAAATCGTCTACCATTTGCGAAAAATTAGAAATTCATTTGCTGGAAGGAAGGCGCAAAGGGGGGGAAGGGGGAGCGAGAGCGAGAGAAAAGTCAATAAAACTTGTTTCGCTAATTTCTCATGGCACATGGGAGAGAGAAGGAGAGAGGAGAGACGGAGATAGCAGATAGAGATAGAGAGTCCTCTGCTGTATAGTATTTCGGTCTTTGATATGTG